CCTAGGATTTGCTTAAGCCCATTGTTTTCCTGCTGAATGTCCGAAATGAGTGGCATAGCTAGTGGCTTTCTTTTGTACTCTCCTAATTGTGGTTGCAGGGGTCAAGTCATAGTCTACGCATGTATCATATGTATACTGTAACTTCTTCGCATGGGTCGCAAGAATAAAAAATAGTTGTAAGACTGAAGTCACCATTGTAAAAAGAATTCCGGTTATGTATGCCATACTAAATAAAACTTAAAAAGATCGGGACAGTAACTGTATTTAAAATCGGCCAACATAAGTGTGTATACAGAAGCCATGACCAAGCCCGGCTAGCTCAGTCGGTAGAGCACGAGACTCTTAATCTCGGGGTCGTGGGTTCGAGCCCCACGTTGGGCGACTGTTTTCCATGGCTTGCATTACACTGTGGTAGACCGAGTAGCAACTGGCGGGGTCTTCTGACTCGAATAGTAAATGATTTGGAATGCATTATTAGATCAAAGATAATATATAACATCAGGTAGTGATAGTCACAAGAGTCAGACTGCTAGTTGGTGAATTACATATATACGCAGCGACTGTTTTTTTTTTTTTTTTTTTTTTTTTTTTGAGATGTTTCGTTGATAAAATCTGCTATGAAGGTGAAAAGATATCCACATGTAGTACATGTTTGTAATTCGTCGAGATGCCCCGAGCGGCATAATGTTAAGCTGAAAAGCTTTAGAATCAGCTTCTACAGACAACACATTTATAGGCAAACGTTCAACCCATAGGAACCATACAAGGAAAAGAGGAAGTTGGTAATTAGGTTTGACCCTGGAAAAAGGAAGGGTAACTCCAATTACTAGGATGAAAAGCCTTTCGCCAGCATAGAGGTAACCCCCGTGAAGGGCAAATCACATTAACACTAAATTAAAATTAGATGCCAAAATTATTCAAATTATGTAGTAACGGTACCTGGTCCAAAAATGTTATGTCGAATTTACAAATGGATAAACATGCCACTAACCAACTAGGTGCTGGACTAAACTTTGCTTGAAACTGCACCAAAAACCGCCCAGGTAGGTACTGCTGTCCTGGCTGTGAGGTAAAAGGGAAGCTGTTAAACGTTCTGTCCTCTGGCAGGATTCCAGACCTTTTCTCTCTAGTGAATATAGCAAGTGTGTTCTTAAAAAAATAGCATTGTTTATATTCAGTATACACTTATTTCTACTATTTTGTGCTACGTAGCGCTTCTTATTCTTGTAATATATCACTTTCAGTTGATGTGTGGTCAGAGGATGCGCCACCATGATGTTGATTACTGTCAGAACCAGTAACAGATGTAACGTGTGTATATTTACCATAGCTCAAAAAGTTTACGTGAATAACTGCGGATTTCTTGTAAAGTGAACTCTCTCAACTTAATCCTGCACACCTGGATAGCACTATATACGCTGAGGCATATTTACCTCTGTATACCCTTCTCGATAGTACTGGAAGCTGCGTAAATTTAGAAAAAAATATAATGGCTTGCTACGTGCGTACATATACATATATACGATAGGTTCATAGAAACACTGACTAGGTCTAAGGCAGAATAAGTAATGTCTTCCCAATATATCCTTGGAGTTTATATTTGCCTCCTAACAAGCACACGTGGAATATATTACTTCACATATATTACTTCTTCTGATACAACTACGCATCAGTACTGCATGCATTTTCTCCAACTCTTACAAGCAATGTTTAGAATTGTAATGAAGCTGAAGTAAGGATCAAGGCAAGATTTCGAACACAGAGAGAAGTGCCAGGTGTGACAAATTTACATAATCAGTTTTCTCTAGTGACTGTTGCGTCATCAGGTACACATTGACAGGTGGTCGACCAGTGGTATAACTCACACACACATTAAGCAAGGAAAAAAACAAATATCTTCTGACATTTCACTTACAGTGAGGCAATGCATCCAAGGGGTCCTCTGAGTATTGCAGTGATTAAAAAAAATAATCTTAACCGTAAGTTTAAACCTGATAAGCTCAGTTTTGGGAGATATATAAAACGAAAGTTCTCCCTCGGCAAGTAATAGATGAGACACGCAAATGCAGTTATCTGGTTACCTTCATAAGCGACATTTGGTCCAAATACACCCTGACTATAAAGCTGTGTGGGCGAAACGTCGTCAGTAATCCCTAACACCTCATTTTTGTCTCCTTAAGATAGGTTATCTCTGCTTCACCTTAATCAGGAGGAAACATTAAACCCAAAGGATCATACAGTGCCTGAAGAAAGTGAGGCATTAAGGTTCCATCCAAGGAAAAGGAGCACAAGGCTAGTTCCTTGGTGTGATGAAAATAATTTTGAAAACTGATAAGTTGAAGAATGAGATACATTGACTCCAGGCTGAGGGACTGACTACCTAACACTCATCTTCCAATGTCATTTTCTGTATTAGACCGAAAGTCACTGGTTAGCGACACGTTTCCTCTATAAAAATTACCAAATGCGGCTCAAGTTGTATTAATATTGGCAGAATTACCGACAATATGTTAAAGGACAAAAATGCAACTAATATGGCATTTTATTGTGGCAACGTTTCGCTCTCCAGGAGCTTGATAAAGTTCTTGGAGAGCGAAACGTTGCCACAATATCACATTAGCTGTATTTCTGTCAAGTTACCAGTATCAAAACACCTTAGAAGAGACCTCTCCTAGAAGCATCTCTTGAGTTACCTCACATTACCACATCCAGCCTAAGTTGTGCGTCAGCGAACAGTAATACAACACTTCATGTTTGAAGTGTGACGAAGCAGATATGTTGCTAGACTAGTGGGACTACCATGGAAATAATTCGAATTGATTTTATTCAGTTGATCCTAATTCGTTATCTCATGCGAATGCCTTCAACATCTGCGGGCTCACACAAGAATATTGCAAATTTTATTATTCTGTTGTAAAATCACTTGTAGGTTTTCTAAATAAAGCTTTGTGGAAGGGATGGTGGTGAAGGGAGAGTGATAGCGCCATGGTAACAGTGATGTACTCACGAGGTATACACAATATTGTGTAACATACGCAGGCTGGTTACCCCATACTGTAATCTACTTCCCTTGTTTCACAAAAAAGATAATATGGTTTCGTTTATGTGGATATTTCTTTCGAAGGATGAAGGTGAATGAGACGTTCATGTCAGTGAGTACAGAAAATCAGGAACGTTAGGAGTGATGAAAGGTTACTACGCAGTGCCACGGACGAGTTACACAAGTGTTTTGACCTGCAGCAGGTGTCCCAGTCCACGTCACACACACACACACACACACACACACACACACACACACACACAGTGAAGAGGCGGGGCCAGGAGATATGACTCGACCCCTGCAACCACAAATAGGTGAGTACACACACACACTTCAGGAATGCAAGGTCATGATGACATGATCAGGATCAGACAGGAAAAGAGAGATGGGGTGGATTGCATATATATTATCTTAGAATAAAAGAAAACGTTTTATATAGTACTACTTAGTAGATTGAACAAGCAGCAGGGCTCAGCTTGCTCAGCTATCGAAACTTGATGACCCAGTCCCTGGATCCATTATGTACCTCTGTAATCTTTTGACTACCGCCCACAGGATGGGTATCGGGTGCGTAATAAACATATTAAATTAAAACTAACTCGGAAGCCACTATAAGGAATAAGGCATCAAGATATGTGTAACTAGTAGAGTTCCATTATGGACAGTGTTGTACCCCCATTGTTCCTGATATTATAAACCTAGTTACAGGAATTAACTCGTATATATCCTTACTTGTGTATGATTACAACAATGAGAATACAAACTGGTGATGAAAAGCTGCGTGAAGACTTGGACAGAATTTAATAAATTTATGAAGCTACTAGAGGGTGAAAGGAGGCCGAAGAGAGAGAGAGTACCAATATGGAAAACAAAAATGTAAGCAGAAAAAGTCAGAGTCGTTCGTATGTATGAATAAAATTATCCAAATTGTACCATGAAGAGCTTTAAAATACATTTAACATCAGCACTACCACACCACCACCGCCACATTACCATTACCACTCCACATACCACCACCATTCCAATAACAAATCACCGTCAAAAAACACACACAACCATACAGGGCCGGATTGAGACCTTGGGGGGGGGGGGGTACCCGGGGCACTTTAGGTTTGGGAGACCCTCAACATGGAAATTAAACTGAGAAAAATAAAGTCAGATGTCTTCGAAACCTAACTTTTTTTTTATAACTGCTGTTTATATGATGTTAAGTCATAGTAAAGAATATCTGGTTTTACTTTTGATGTAGTTTGTACGGAAGTATGTATCAATACTCTCCTTAATTTGGTTATTGTTTGTGTTTCCATTAGATACTTTTTGTTACGTGTATTATATGGCCATGGAAAGTATTACATCTGTTGACGGATAGGGCCTGTTTGTTATTTATGTGCTGTGATGTACTTTTTAAATAAAATATAAAAAAAACTGCTATTTATCATTCATTTTAGTTCATTTCTTATTTGTAATTCAATTTATTTTCCATGTTGAGGCCCCCTCCCCCCTAGGTCTAAATCCGGCCCTGATCAAAACTAAGCACTAAACCCATAAGAGATGTCAAAATACCTAAGCCCAACATCAAGGAGACTATTTTCAACAAGAGTCCATGGACATTGTTCATTAGAATTACGAATATGTGACAAACGAGTGTCTTTGGGTTAGTGTCCAGGGCGTTTCAAATATCAAGCTTCAAGCCACTTTAACAGTCTTGTTACTGTGTTAGTCCCTTAGTAATTACCAAATGACAACCATACCCCCTCCCCATCACCCTCCCACCAGTAACAACTACTCACTCCCAAACCCCTCCACCAGCAGCCAACCCCCGACCCTTCCCCTTCCCTACAAAACTGCTGACGTCATCACCCCATTTTCCAGGTCAACGGCGCCATTTAGCCATGGAGGTCAAGAATAGTGGCGCCACTAGTCATTCCTCTGCCATCCACCACACCATCAACACCTCCAGCTTTTCCAGTTCCATCACCTTTGGTAATTTAATAAACTTGGACTACTCCAATGTCATGGTAATTTTTGATAGATCAGCCTTTAAAATATTTTAGCAATATTTCTTTCAACAAAATATTGAAGGAAGCATTCTAAATACATTGTAAGAATTCAAATTATTGCTTACTGCAGTTCATGAATAATTAGTAATGTCCATAGTTTTATCTTTGCAGATATTGTTTTGGGGTGTTGCTGCTGGTGATACCTGAAGACTTGCCGCTGCCCACAACGTGGACTTCACCACACAGCCGCTGCCCACAACGTGGACTTCACCACACAGCCGCTGCCCACAACGTGGACTTCACCACACAGCCGCTGCCCACAACGTGGACTTCACCACACAGCCGCTGCCCACAACGTGGACTTCACCACACAGCCGCTGCCCACAACGTGGACTTCACCACACAGCCGCTGCCCACAACGTGGACTTCACCACACAGCCGCTGCCCACAACGTGGACTTCACCACACAGCCGCTGCCCACAACGTGGACTTCACCACACAGCCGCTGCCCACAACGTGGACTTCACCACACAGCCGCTGCCCACAACGTGGACTTCACCACACAGCCGCTGCCCACAACGTGGACTTTTTATTAATAAATAGTAGTAAATAAATTTTCTTTATCACAGCAAAGAAATGTTAAAGGAACAGTGTTCAAGGAACACCAAAGAAATAACTGAGACAAGCCTCAGCTGCTGTATTTGTCAGCAGGACAACATTCACACAATTCGGGAGCTTTCAGCTCTGGGGGAAAAAAAAAATATATACCTACCCCAACCCTAGTAACAACAGTAGCAATGAGGCAGATAGCCTCAATGCTGCCATTATTAGTAGTTTGAGGTATGATACATTTTTAATTTCATGACCTAATGTTTTACAGTCAGTATTGTACATGACTATCAACTGCCGCACCTATCTTCGCAGTGAACATTTCCGCTTGCACAAGTCTTCTAACAGCCTGTTATGATCACCTCTGGAGACAAACACTTGTCTTGTTTAATTGCCGCAGTATCGGCCTTACTTCGTAACATATTGCAACCTAGCCAAACCTACTCCTAATATCCCTTAGACGCCTATATTTAACAGGAAAAAAAAATCTTTACTTTCCATCAACTCGCACTACTCTCCTCTGAATCAAACCTGACTTTCATAGACCTGTCCCTCGAGAGGTTACCGCCCCTCCCCTATTCAAACTGTCTTACATACGAGCACATTCACTCAAAGAACTATCTAGACTGGATATATCCATAGGGGTTACACACAGTTTGGGGGGTGTTAAGCAATCAGGTTTGACTAGCAACTTATATCCCGATACCTTTACTAGGACACCCCTTGACGGGTGTCTCAGTAACTACCTTCGTGTTAATTTGTACTGACTTAATGATCCTATTTTCCCTACACTTCCACGTCCCTAGGGTGCATAACCATATTAAACTCAACGCAGTGTTGGTGGTTAGCTTAGTGTGCTATATCTAACCATTTGAAGGCCTGCCGTATACCAGTTTCCTAACGCACACTACTATGCTACCCTGAATTCTTAGCTGCCAGTTATGGTTAATTTTTAAGGTAGGTTGCCATCCTAGGCACAACCTGAGGACCACTATAGTCAAGTCCCCATACTACCTACCCCTCTATTTTTCTGGGTTCCTAACCCATCAGGGTTAATAATCCTATTCTCACTAATATCAATCTAAATCACCCCCTCCCCTAATTATACTCATCAGCATCAGATGTTAGTGAATCCATTTTGCCAACTAACACTTAAACTTCAGATCACAGAGGTTTTCAATATTTTCATCATTAACGTCTGCTGCCAGAAGCGTTAAACTTCACTACTTACAAACTATCAAACCAACTTCAATTCTGAATGTTAATACTTTATATTTATAGAAAACTTGAACGCCGCTTAAATTTTCCCAAATAATGAAAGTGTGTAAACTCAATGAATCAATATTTAACTTTGCACAGTTTGGCCAAAGGCATAAAATACGTAGAACACCCACCGCAACCACTACCCAAAGCCCGAAACCCACCAACATCCCCACAGAAACCACGTGCAATAACAGATTCCACACAGCTTCTGAAGGTCGTTGGTGGGTTCCAAGGCCCACAGTTCTACGTAACTTATGCCTTCGGGGGAGATTACTCTCCCCTGCTATATGCATTCATAATGCATATAGCAGATTCTCCAGTTCTATACCTTACCTATCCTACTTAACACCACCTAATTCTATAAGTTATTTTGATAGAAGAAACTAATTTTAGACCTACAAAGTGTTATACGTATATATACACCACAACTATGCAACATACTCCAGCCTTACTAATTTGCAGAGCAGTGGCAGCGCAAGGGGAGAGGGAGGGAGGGAGGGAGGTAAAGGTAAGATCAAGGGGGTCTAGGAAAGATCAAGGGGGTCTACGAAGTATCTGTAAATATATTTTGTATAACCCAATTTCAAAACAAATGTTCCCCCCTCCCCAAGCCGCTCTAGTACACTCGGGAGTTGTTAAGCGCCAGGCCCTCGACAACCCTATTGAAAATAAGATGTGGTTAATTCCACATTTCTGAGTAACTGTTACTGATTTTTTCCGGCTATAATATATCCTGCCTAAGGAAAATTTATCCCGTCATGTGAAGCTAAAGCTTTAGCTGTGTAGTTTTAAAAATAGGTTAGACAAACGAGTGGTTGAGAGTTGGACCTGCCTAACATGGGACAATAGGCCTGCTTCAGTGCTCAGTCTTAATAATGGATATGCCTGATTTAATAGGCTTTCCTTACACCCGGCATCAAGACCTCTACCATTACCCTCATCACTAAACTATCTCAGTATAATTAACCCGGTAGATTAACACAACTACACAATCAAGTCAGGATGACATCTATGACATTTTTATTAGGGCAGTTATACCCCCCATCAGGATAAGACCCCTACCAGTAGGCCTACTGCAGTGTTCCTCCGTTCTTACGTGAACAGTGCCAATGGATATAAGGGAACATACTCACTTGTGCCCGGGATCGAATCTCGGTTCTTCAGTTGACGCCACCACCAACTGAGCCATGATATATCACTTACACATTTCATCTCTGCTTCCTACAATCTTGCAGGATGGGTATAGATATTACACTAACTAAATCTTCCTAAAATCTAACCAGTTTTCAATTCTAAGCTTTACAACCCATTTCTCCAAATTTTATTTTCACCCCATTCAATGTAACCTATAGAATACATTCCTCATTATTTCCTGGACAGAGATTTCATCTCTGGTCGGGAGATAAGCTAATACTTCCTACTAAGCTACTTTTGATATCAATTGCTTACAATTTTTCCCATACTCTCCCCACCACCTTCCCACCTAATACAATTACTATCTGCTTCAATAAACCATACCCCCGGCCGGGATTGAACCCGCGGTCATAGAGTCTTATAACCTGGAAATACCTTACAAGTGGGCCCTGCTCACGTGTAACAACGTCTCCAACTGCTGCATCTCCATATAATACAATGTTATATGTTATATACTTGTGTAGTTGTCTCCACCCCTCAGACTGGTCAAAGTTGCTATGTTGATCAATATTGCAGCAGGCACAGCACTCCTCAGACTGGTCAAAGTTGCTATGTTGATCAATGTTGCAGCCAGGCACAGCAACCCTGTTACCACACCTGAAAGAAAACATTCGCATTATAACCATGAACATTACACACATTTATAGGTAAACATTACCATGTAATATAAACTAGTAACATTACTGCCCGACTGATATTCCCATTAATGTTCAATACGGTAGAGCTATCTTTTTCTTTAATAAATATTTCTTTCACGTAAACCTGATGATTAACAATTTGTTTACATGATTTAGTGAAGGTCTCTTGATCCAAGGAACTTGCGCCTTGGATCACAAGGGACAAGTTCTTGGATCAAGAGACCTTCACAGTTATTTTTCAATAATGGAAAAAAATAGACCAGAACTGGATACATAATTATGAGTTACGTAACGCCTAGTGTGAGAGTTATTGTTTGATCAGAGGAAGGGGAGCAGCTCCAGTTCCTCGCATCAAAACCCCTCCACTAAGGTCCATCACCCCCCCCCCACCCCCCTCTAAGACATTAGACCCCCCCAAAAAATGAAGACTTAAAATATTAATAAATTGGTGACCAAACTGGTGGTGGGTACCAGGAGCTACAGCTCAACTCTACTGTTGTACTGACAAATACGTCACCAGACAATACTTACGTTATTTAGGTGTATTAAAAGGATGAGGAAACGGTAATGCCGGCGGGGGGGGGGGAGGAGAAGGAGCAACACGTCTCTTCTGTACGACCATTAAAGTTCAACTGACCTTTAGTGCCCTTGAGGTTGGTCACTGTCCTGACCTTCACTATAACACCATGACTGGTAATCTGACTAACTCTGACTACCACCACTAGATGGCAATACTACACCCTCACTATCAGTACTACTCATGATAGGGCGCTCAGTCCCTGGGGGTCATGGACCATCTGGGAGGATAAGTTCACTCCCAGGTGGCATTGATCACATTCCTTGGATCAAGAGACCCTCACCACCACCTTCAAGGAACCTCTATCAAGGCCACCGCTCTCACCACCAGAGGCGCTCAACTCCACTACTATTGTACCACTAGTACTCTACACGAGAGTTTGCCTGGAGAGGGTTTCGGGGGTCAACGCCCCCGCGGCCCTGTCTGTGACCAGGCCTCATATTGGATCAGAGACTGATCAACCAGGCTGTTACTGTTGGCCGCACGCAGAGGGAGATTATTGTACCACTAGTACTCTACATGTGGGGAGATTATTGTACCACTAGTACTATACATGAGGGGAGATTATTGTACCACTAGTACTCTACATGTGGGGAGATTATTGTACCACTAGTACTCTACATGTGGGGAGATTATTGTACCACTAGTACTATACATGAGGGTAGATTATTGTACCATTAGTACTCTACATGAAGGGAACATTATTTTACCAAAGTTGTGCTCTCTTTCCCTAGTACTATGATTGCTTTGGTTCCCAGCATTGACAAAATTGTCACCAAGATATTCTGGACACTGTGAGCAGTTTTATAAACGTGATTTAACTTCTGTTTTACTGTCTTCAACATTCAACATATTCAATTGTTGTAATTCATCGTGGCTTACATGCTCTCCTGGATCCAGGTCCAGGATGAATCTTACCATTTTGTTCTGGGTGATTTGTAGTCAATCTTTCAGTTTTTTGTCAAGGAAGAATACCATGAAGAGCAAGTGCGGTCCATATGACATTGTATAAGAGCTAGACATAGGGTCTTGCTAGTCAGGGACTAATGCCTAATGCCTAGCCATGCTAAGCGTTCTAGTGGTACACTCTGTAATCACTATTTTACTACATGTAAACCACACAATAACCAAATTTCTGTAAACTCAGCATTGTAATCCTTATAGAGAATAAACTTTGAATTTGAATTTGAATTTGGGGGGCCTGGGGTACTTTAGGTTTGTGGGGCCCTCAACATGGAAATTCATTTCAATTACAAATAAGAAATGAACTAAAATAAATGATAAACAGCAGTTTTCGAAAAAAAAAAAATGTTAGATTTCGAGGAAGACGTCTGATTTTATTTTTCTCAATTTTATTGACTTTAAGAATAACCGACTACAATTTTCAGGTTGTAATATATTCTATCTACACTCTATAATAATTACCGATGTGTATTTATATCTTTGGTGTCACACTATCGGTATCTATGTATATGGTGACAGTTGATCAAAAGGACACATGCTTTACGCTGACAGGAAACCACATGGCTGGGTCTGAATCACATGGTGGGGCTTCACTGTCCGTGTTTGCTGAAGTGTATATGTAGAATGTGGTCCCCTCAAGGAAGGTTCCTTGATGTTGGTGAGGGGCTCTTGATTTAGGGAATTGGATCTGTGCTCCAGTTCCCCGAATTAAGCCTGAATGCCTTCCACATCCCCCCCCCCAGGCGCTGTATAATCCTCCGGGTTTAGCGCTTCCCCCTTGATTATAATAATAATAATGTAGAATGTGGTTGTGGTGATTCATTACCTTTACTATCTTGATTTGGTATTTTCTTTTTATTTTCTGCAGATGTACTTGGTGTGGAAAATTACATTTATCTGTTTGTAACTCATTATGTACATAACAGTAAATAACAAAGATTATTATTTATCAATGTTACATAAACAAGTAGGAATTTGGGACACCTAGGTCGCAAAAAATGTCCCCCTTCGATACCTACCACTGTCATATCCACAAGTTGCTCTGGACCTATTAATTATAAATGAAATATACATCACCAGGAATTCTGGTAAATATATAAATTTATGGACTGTATATTAAATTAATAAAGGATTATATATATACACACATTTATATAACAGAAGGAGAATATATCTTAATCATAACACTCACCAATTTGACTGGAGATTAATGTGTCATGTACAGGACCCCCCCCCCCTTTTGCCTACATTTATGAAAAATTTACTGGCCAGAATTTAAACATAAATTAGACAGCTTATCTGAGGTTCCTGGAGTTGTCTTGTCCTGTCGCCTGATACTCAAATTATGCAGGAATGCACAGCCCAATTTTAACCTCTAGAGCACGAAAAATTCTTCCCATTATTCACAACGTCTGTTCAATTCAAACAATAATGGCGACTGTCCTACGCAGGTGCAGCTTCCCGTTTTCGATAACATAAATTTGATTAAATACAGTATGGCCATCTATTTACATATAACTACTGTATTTCTGGAAAATATATGCAGTATTTTCCACACTTGGTAATGCGGGTGGGTCCTCAGAAGAAATATCATCTGGTAGTGGTACTGGTTCTTCATTATTAGCTTCTAGGATTTCCACTATGGAGGCAGAGAAAAATTCTGTAAGGCGTTTTGTCTTTGCCAAGACCGCAGCATTTCTTTCGCTTGATTCTTTGACAACTGAATTTTCCGTGGTATACTGGGTCTTCTGAAAAAAAAATATTCAGATTTTTGACATTTAATGACAATGTAGTTCATGACACACACACCTGGAGTTTACCTGGAGAGAGTTTCGGGGGTCAACGCCCCCGCGGCCCGGTCTGTGACCAGGCCTCCTGGTGGATCAGCGCCTGATCAACCAGGCTGTTGCTGCTGGCTGCACGCAAACCAACGTACGAGCCACAGCCCGGCTGGTCAGAAACCGACTTTAGGTGCTTGTCCAGTGCCAGCTTGAAGACTGCCAGGGGTCTGTTGGTAATCCCCCTTATGTATGCTGGGAGGCAGTTGAACAGTCTCGGGCCCCTGACACTTATTGTATGGTCTCTTAACGTGCTAGTGACACCCCTGCTTTTCATTGGGGGGATGTTGCATCGTCTGCCAAGTCTTTTGCTTTCGTAGTGAGTGATTTTCGTGTGCAAGTTCGGTACTAGTCCCTCTAGGACTTTCCAGGTGTATATTTCTCCCGCCTGCATTCCAGGGAATACAGGTTTAGGAACCTCAAGCGCTCCCAGTAATTGAGGTGTTTTATCTCCGTTATGCGCGCCGTGAAGGTTCTCTGTACATTTTCTAGGTCAGCAATTTCACCTGCCTTGAAAGGTGCTGTTAGTGTGCAGCAATATTCCAGCCTAGATAGAACAAGTGACCTGAAGAGTGTCATCATGGGCTTGGCATCCCTAGTTTTGAAGGTTCTCATTATCCATCCTGTCATTTTTCTAGCAGATGCGATTGATACAATGTTATGGTCCTTGAAGGTGAGATCCTCCGACATGATCACTCCCAGGTCTTTGACGTTGGTGTTTCGCTCTATTTTGTGGCCAGAATTTGTTTTGTACTCTGATGACGATTTAATTTCCTCGTGTTTACCATATCTGAGTAATTGAAATTTCTCATCGTTAAACTTCATATTGTTTTCTGCAGCCCACTGAAAGATTTGGTTGATGTCCGCCTGGAGCCTTGCAGTGTCTGCAATGGAAGACACTGTCATGCAGATTCGGGTGTCATCTGCAAAGGAAGACACGGTGCTGTGGCTGACATCCTTGTCTATGTCAGATATGAGGATGAGGAACAAGATGGGAGCAAGTACTGTGCCTTGTGGAACAGAGCTTTTCACCATAGCTGCCTCGGACTTTACTCTGTTGACTACTACTCTCTGTGTTCTGTTAGTGAGGAAATTATAGATCCATCGACCGACTTTTCCCGTTATTCCTTTAGCACGCATTTTGTGCGCTATTACGCCATGGTCACACTTGTCGAAGGCTTTTGCAAAGTCTGTATATATTACATCTGCATTCTTTTTGTCTTCTAGTGCATTTAGGACCTTGTCGTAGTGATCCAATAGTTGAGACAGACAGGAGCGACCTGCTCTAAACCCATGTTGCCCTGGATTGTGTAATTGATGGGTTTCTAGATGGGTGGTGATCTTACTTCTTAGGACCCTTTCAAAGATTTTTATGATATGGGATGTTAGTGCTATCGGTCTGTAGTTCTTTGCTGTTGCTTTACTGCCCCCTTTGTGGAGTGGGGCTATGTCTGTTGTTTTTAGTAACTGGGATGACCCCCGTGTCCATGCTCCCTCTCCATAGGATGGTAAAAGCTCGTGATAGGGGCTTCTTGCAGTTCTTGATGAACACGGAGTTCCATGAGTCTGGCCCTGGGGCAGAGTGCATGGGCATGTCATTTATCGCCTATTCGAAGTCATTTGGCGTCAGGATAACATCAGATAGGCTTGTGTTAACCAAATTCTGTGGCTCTCTCACCACCACACTACTGTTACCACAACACCACCACACTACTGTTACCACAACACCACCACACTATTACACCACACTACTGTTACCACAACACCACTACACTATTACACCACACTACTGCTACCACAACACCACTACACTATTACCACAACACCACCACACTACTGTTACCATAACACCACCACACTACCACTACCGCAGTACACTTCCATCACTGTACCAGAACCACATTAACATACCACAGACTGTACAACCACCACAAGGTTATATGCACCAAGGGGTGAGTATTTTTTAGTGTATATACTGAGACTTAACTTCAACCTTTATTCTACAGATAATGTCTTTGGTAGTATACAGGTAACATGCAGCCACAATGACCTTCGTGTATTCGATAGGTATTAAACTCAATAAAAGAAATTAACAACCTACAGGTATCAGGTACACACCTGCTTAGTCCCTTAGTTACTGCGCAGCATCATACTGACTCAACTCTATTGCTCTCTCTCTCTCTCTCTCTCTCTCTCTCACTTATATTGGGTTTGACAAGGTTAGATTTAGGGTTCCTAACTTTATTTATAAGCTAGACCTGTTACCTACATCCAGGGCCGGATTACCGCATAGGCAAACTAGGCATTTGCCTAGGGCCCCGCGGTCCAAGGGGTTCAGGGGCTCATCCAAGATAAGATTTCGTTCGGATTTTTAACCCCGGAGGGTTAGCCATCCAGGATAACCCAAGAAAGTCAGTGCGTCATCGAGGACTGTCTAACTTATTTCCATTGGGGTCCTTAATCTTGTCCCCCAGGATGCGACCCACACCAGTCGACTAACACCCAGGTACCTATTTGCTGCTAGATGAACAGGACAATAGGTGTAAGGAAACGTGTCGGAATTTCCACCCGCCGGGAATCGAACCCGGGCCCTCCGTGTGTGAAGCGGGAGTTTTAGCCACCAGACCACCAAGACTGCGCACATGGTGCAAGTGCAAAGGGGTCCCTACCTAAAAAGTTCAAGTGTTTGGAGAGTAAAATTGGTTTTTAAAAATTAATCAAAACAAAAATAAATAATGAAATAAAATAAAATAAAAATAAATAAACCTAACCATAGAAGGCAACACTCAACACGCCTTTGTTTACATCAGAACAGCTGTGTTTTCCCGCTAATGGGTGAGTATGGGAGATTCCTCTCCAATTTTCTGTAGTAATTACA